ATACTTATCTGCCACTCAAGGAGGGTGCCTCAAAGATTATCCAGTGGCAAATGATGGTCAGATCATAAAATACCTCAAATATGTTAATAATACTATAAGCCATTGCCCAGGTATCACTTTTCAAATACTTTCTTATCAGTTCAAGAAATTAAAAAGGTATGCTGCTTTTGCTCTATCTTTTAAAACAGGAAAATCTCAGCTCAAGTTCCTAAAGTCTTTCCAAACTAGACCTTTGAGAATATATTTGGAAACCTCTTTACTTGGCTCTTGAATTCTGTCAACTCAGAACTGTCTTACACTCAGGTCACCCTAAGTCAGTTCATTTTCTTGATTGCTTTAAGAAAGAGTTGAGTGAAATGAAAAACAACAGGGTCCCCAGAATCATCTGGTCCCTGGTGTCTCTCCCCACTGACCCCAGACCCCTCCCTTACTGTTATTTCTATTCGTGCCTCATTGCCTATGGCGTTAGGACTCCTAGCTTTTTCTATGCCTGGAAGATAGGAACTGGCCTTTCTGCTGCAGAACGTGGACTCGATACATTCAACAGCAGGGGATCAGAGCCATTTGAGAGACAGCGGGAGTCCTGTCTGGGTAGCCTGGGTTCCAGTCACTTCAGCCTTTCAATCTTTTATTTTGCCAGTTGAGTGCTCCGGGGTTAATGTCTAAGGATTCTATCGGATAACATGAAACTCCAAACCTGTGAAACTCCAAACCTGATGTGCTGCCTGTGCATTCACATTTCTACCAGGCACAGCTTGGACAAGCATGGGCCTGCCTGGAGCCCTGTGGGGAGTGTACCTCTTGCCACTGTCTTGCACTGTGTGCTCCGTTGGCAACTGGCCACAGCTTCCCTATCTCCAGGAGCTGTTCATATGGGAAAAGTTTACTGGGCACCCATTTAGTGACCAATCCCTAGAGCCTAGAGCAGGCAGTCTGTGTAAAATCTAGGAGTTTACAGTTTACTTGCAAATTATTATGCTCGCCAGTGGCCATCCCACATTTTGGGGAGACAGGGTAAAAGAAACACTTCAAATCCTTATCCAGCGCCCATCCAGCGATCATCATTGCTTCTCTTTCAGGATTTGTTTGAACTCAGACCTGTCTCCCACAACCAATTTACACCTCTTATCTGATCATCCAGTTCAGACCGAAGGGTGAATTGACCGAATCTGCCCGTGTCCATGGCAATGGCATTAAAACTCGAGTATAGATCAAAGCTCTCCTGACAAGGAGGGGGAGGGTAGATGGTTATGGGGTCTGGGTTCTTTTGGCCCCAAGCCATGTGTCCTGGAGGTGGGGACCTTAGGACTTGGAGTTGCCACCATTTGAAGAAACTCATCGTCAGGACTTGAATAATTTCCTGAGCAAACCCCCGTCCCCTGCAGATCATGATTAACTCTAGCAAAGGGGAGGTTCGTAGCGGGCGCTGACGGGGAATGGCTAGCGCCAGGGGGCTCTCCTCTCTGTCTGAAACCGAAAGGAAAGGAGGCGGAGGGAGGGGAGCAGAGCAGTGAGCACACGCCGATAAACCAGAGCGTGGGTCCCCTACCCTCTCAGAAGAAATTCAACCAGAGCCGCAGAAGCCGCAACGCGTATAGGCGAGATCCCCTAAACTTGGTCTGGAAAGCGGATTCCCGACCTTCCCTAAACCAGATGATTCCCAGAGGGCGACAAGTCCATTCCAAATCCCTCCCCAACCTCCAAACACTAGCGCTACTGGTGCCCCCCCAACCCCCACCCAGCCGCCAGACGCCTGCGACCGGGTGGGAAAGATCCGCTGCGCAGTCAGCCCTAGGCGAAGGGCGGGGGCAGCCGTTTAATCACAGCACGCCTCGCCTCCATTAACTTGTGTTGATATTAAAAAGAAATCAATCAGTGAAAATGAAGCATTGGCCGTGAATATTTCTTTTTCTCACGTGGGAAAGCAAAGAGCGAGGCGGCTGGGGAGGGGAGGCGGGAACTCGCCGGCGACTGCAGGCAGAGGCTTCTCCGCAGACCAGAACTGCAGCGGAGACCTAACTTTCCCGCACTGGGTAGCGTTGAGGAAATGCCGCAGGCTTTTCCCTGGGGGTGTCCTTAGAGGGAGGAGGGGACAAGCATGAAGTGGTTGGAGACGGCCAACTTCGTGGAGGCTTCAGCCTCGGTTTTGCTTTCGCTGGGAATATTTTTGCTTAATAGAATGTTTATGGATCGCTGGGCTCTGTTTCTGCTGCGTAGCCCAAACAAATCGATGCGGCGTTAGAGACGGCGCTTGGGGGCGGGGAGGAGGAGGGAGGCCTAGAAGGAGAGCTGAGGGGCTACCACGTCCCCACCACGTGGATGGCTGCGCGCCGCGTGCTCTTCACCTGTTCCTGTGCACGGGCGGGCTCTGGGCGCGCCGCGATCTAGAGGCTGTGCAAGTTGCGCGCATTCCTGCGGCTCTAGCTGGCTGCTTCCCGCCTCTCTCCGCCCTCCTCTCCGAAATCCCACCCCAGCTTCCTATCACCCAGTTGGGCCAGAGCTTGGATTCCCAAGCCCGCCGGCCTCGGCCTCCCGCTACTCAAAGCCGGTTCTCTAGGAGTCGCGGCAAACCTGCGGCGCAGAGCGGAGCGCTGGGGACTGGCGGGGGAGCCCGGGGCAGAGATGGAGACAGACTAGCGACTGCGCTGCGGTCTGGCTAGGCGGCGCAGTGAGGAGAGGGGCAGCCCATGCGGCCTCCCAGCCACGCACCAGACCAAGGTGCCGCGCGCCGCGACTGCCGTGTTATTTTCTCAATTGCTCCCCCGCGTGCACCTTCTGTCCCCTCTTACGCCTTCCCAGAATTGGTTCTCGTCGCCTGCGGCGGCGGCGGCGGCGGCAGAACCGGGCCCCTTCCCGGCTGGCGCACATCGGGTGAGTCAGAGGTCTAGTTCGGCCTCGCCCTGGTCACACGCTGCCTGCTCCCCGGGTGCAAGTCCGTTGCTCCGCCTGAAAGCCTGAGCAGCCCACGGCTTGCGATCGCATTTTGGGGAGCTGGAGGTTCCCGGGAAGTCCCAGCTTCGAATCCCACCCTGAGATACCACCCCGGGTCCGAGGTTGCCCCGAACTCCGGGCCTCTGGGCTTCTCTGGAAGTGACGCAGCACGGTCGGGGGTTGGGATGGGAGGGGGTTCTGCAGAGAGCGCGGGAGGCAGGTGGCAGAGCGGGAGTGGGTCCAAGCGGGTGTCGCGCACACACGTACACACACTCCATGCAGCGCTCGGGGACAGATGTGCGAACATCTGGGATAGGAGATGGCCCCTGAGTCTTCACGACCCCTCCCGCTCCGCACAGCACACTGAACCTGAAGTTGCATGTGTATGCGCGCCGGTGTGAGTGCCAGTGTGTGCGCGCTCGCGCGCTGGGGCCTACAGGAGTCCGTGTCTGAATACATAATATACTGTGGGCATTCTCACGGCGCGCACGCGTGCACACACACACACACACACACACACACACACACACACAGCGGATCACACAAACATACACAATTAACGCAGCATCCAGGTCTGTGAGAGGTAATTTAATTCCACTTCAAGCCGGGAAGTTAGAATTAAGGCAAGAGGGAATGGGGAGGCCCAAAAAATCTCCCCAAGTGGGACCCCCCACCCATCCCTTTGATAGGATTTGCAGCTGCCCTGAAGACCACTTATGGCAAAGAAAGAGCTGAAAACGTGCGGATTTGGGTAGCAAAGGCATTTCTAAATTTTCCTCCCCTTCAAATAAATGCCCAAGCTTAAAGTGGCGTGTGTGCTGGTTGAGGGATGGGGAGGGGAAGAAGGAAGGGTGACAGTGCCAGATGCAAAGTTAGGACCCACTAGCTGATGTTCTAGGGGATGCCCAGGAGGCTGCAGAGTTAGCCCTACCACTGCCACCATCGCCTTGCAAGTGGCTTGGGTGAGGCACTTCAGGAAGGCTTTTTCTTCTTTCTTTCACCCATTTCCTCCATAGACGGTTTCTCCATCTCCAATCACCTGTAGCAGCTGCGAAGAATTTTGTTGTGAGATTCCAGATACGGTTCTCAGAGCGGGAGAGAGACTCACTCTACAGAGTGGTCCCGGGAAGGAAGCACAAGCCCCACTGCATTCCCCATGGAACCAGAGATCCCTTCCCAGAGAGCATATCCCTAGCCCGACGCCCACAAATGCGGTCCCCAGACTGCTCTGGGCCTCAAAGTGCTGATCTCCACAGCAGCCTGTCCAGACACCCTCTTGGCAGTGGTTGAGAACAAATTCCACTCAAAAGTTTCAAACCACTGCACTAGAGTGACAGACCTTCAAAGGCCTGCAATTTGTTTTATCTAATAATTTCTTAAAAAACGTATGATTTACTTTCCCAGACAACACATGGATGAAGAGAGAAGGGATGACCAGCCGCCTTGGTTGCCAGCATCACCCAACCCCAAGACCCTCTCTCAGCCACAAGCCAACTTGCTCCACCAGCCTGAGCCCTAGGATTTTGAGGCATATCCAACCATTCTCCAAAGAATCTACAGCCTCTGAAAACCAAAACTAAACTCTTGTCTTTCCCAAGCCCTTCAGTTAACATTGCTCAATGTAGCTTAGTGGAGGGAATGCAAATGATTTATATTTCACTGGCTAGGTTGGAGAAACTCAAGGGAGATGTGTTCTGCTTCAAGACAGAGAGAAAAAAAATCCCCAAAAACTGTAATGCAAAGGCTTTGTAGTATTTTTAAACCTTTGATTCAGTCCATATGTGACATCTGAACACCGCCAAATTCTGTTTCAAAACACACACACCACACACACACACACACACACACACACACACACACACACACACACCACACTCTCCTAGTAGGAGAGGAAAGTTGGGTTTTAGCAGCCGTGGTGGTGCAGGGAGGGTCGGCTGGGATCTCTCTTTAAATTATTGAGTACTGAGGGAGCCTCCTTCTGTGCTGTTCTGCGTGGCCTCCCTGCTTTAGCGATGGTTTTTAGGGGAAACCATGTTGCAATAAATAGAAAAAAACTTTCAGTGGCTTACCTGATTGGCCTCTCACTTGGTGTCTTGAAAAGTAGAGGGCTAAGAAAACCCAGGTGAGAGGACACATATCCATTTTGGAGAAGGTCACTCTCTCCAGAGCTGGGTTCGTAGGTTTCTTGTTTAAATCTTTGTGTTTCTCTCTCTCTTATTTTCTTCCTTACAACGTCTTATGCAGAGGTTTCTAATGGTCAGTGTTTCCCTCCTGAGTCCTGCTGGCTTGTCTTCACCTTTATTCTTGCTGGAATTTCCACCTCACCAGGAGGAGGGAGAGTAGCCCCTGAAATCAGCAAAGAGGGCACAAGCCGGGAAAAGGACACGGGTTTCCTCTCAAAAACAAAACGCATGTATGTTCTCTCCAGTTCCTCAAAGTGTCATTTCCTTTATCCTACAATATCACGAGTATTTCCCGAAAGCCAGGCGTAATAATAATGATAATAATAATAATAATTAAAGCCAAGACTTGCCGTGGGCATCACACGGCCCCCAGGCAGCTGTGTGGTCTCAGAGGCGTAAACTGACACACATCCCCCGGTACCCCGGACGGACATGCGGGCGGAGGCAGCCGCCGCCGGATAGCCCGAGTGGGAGGCGGCCGCCTTGCTCTTCTCCTCGCCGGGTTCCCCTAGCGGGAGCCTTCCCCAACGGCTACACCCGCTTGGCCAGCCAGCCTCTGGAGGGGAGTCTGAGGAAGGAAGCTGCTGTGGCTGTTGCTGCTGCTGGGGCGGCGGCGGCTGAGATCGCCTGCGAGTGAGCGAGCCCCTCTCCGAGTTCGCTGGCGCCCGCCCTCACCTCCACCTCGCCGAGTGTCTGCGCGGCTGAGGATGTACCGGGGGCCGGCTGCAGGCTGGTGCCTCGCTCGCGATCTCTGTCTCCCCTCCGGCTCCCCCCTGCCTTTTCAGGCAGAGCAGCATGTGGATGTCAGAGCCGCGGCAGAGCTATCCGATTACGCGCCGGTTCAGGGCCCGCCCCTTCTGTGTTCCTGATTAAAGAGGCAGCGGCGGAGACGCGCGGCGCAGAGCCGAGTGCCGCGGCACCCAGCTCGGGCGGGGCGGCGACGGCTTCTCCCCGGCTGCCGCAAGATCGAAGTTAAGGCGGCGCCCATCCCACCGCCCCTCGCCCGCCCCGCATCTCCCGCTCGCCCCGCGCACCTCGGCGCAGGGCAGCCCATGTGTAACGCCCCGGGGAAGTAGCGCCCCCGGGCACCTCCAGGACGCGCAGCCCTTGTCCGTGTGGCCCCCACCCGAGGGAGACTCCGCGGGAAGCGGGGAATAGCCTTGTTCCCCCTGAATCCCACAACTCGGATGCCACACACGCAAACGCAACACAATGCCACGCGCAATGGCGTTACAACAGGAGTTGGGTGGCGTACGGTGTTTGGGGTAGCCAGCCGGTCGGCAGCTCAGCCATGCGTTCGAACAGGCAGCGGTGCGTGGCGGCAACACACACCGTCAGCCCGGGCTGAATAAAACCCCAAACACTCCCTGCGTTTACTACTCAGATCCTTTGTTATGTCCCAAACATGCTCTGCTCCTCTCCGGGTTAGGATTTCGTTATCCCTGCGCCTTTAACTTGTAACTATCTGCAAAAAATGAAAGACTTTCTTCAGCAAAGAAAATTTCAGGTAATTAAATTGGATTCCCTCGAGTTTCCCCGAAAAAGTATAGGTACTTGAAGGCTTCTCATCCAAATACTACTGTAACTACGTCTATTCACATTTTCCCCCATGGAAACGTGGTCACAAAGCCCAGAGAAAGAAAACAGCATTATGCCAACTATTTTTAAATGGAGGCGTGAAAACTGTTTAGAGGGAACTGCAAGCTAACAGTTGGGGAAACACTTGTATCTTTGTTTCTGAGGATGGCTTTCCAAACTGTCTTGCTTCACCAGACACCTATTACTACATTATCATAAAGCCTCCAACAGAAACAGCCCAAATTATACCCTGCACATGTACACCTTTTCTGCCACAAAAGAGGTATGTGAAAAATAAGAAAATTCAGAAAAATGTTTACAGATTAAGGTTTTTTAAATTAAGAAAGCAAAATTTTCTGTAGATTAAGAAAAATACGGTTTTGATGACAAGAAACACACACACCTGATCATCCTATTTTCTTCTTGGCTTGCACTTGTGGATTCTTCTGGGTGGTTTCCCTCCTTATCTGGACTTGCCCATTAGCTTTGTGTATCACTTTTAGTGTTTGAAAAATCTGTAACTCCCACTTAACTGTTATTTACACTGAGATAACCAAAACAAAATTGAATCAGAAGTGATTTGCAAATAGTTGAGCCAAGCTGTGGGGGAGGGGATTTTAGAGTGGAAATCCACAGGCTACGCATCACGCTGTTAATCTTAGATGCCTGGTTGGAAAGGCGCAGAACAGAGGCCTCTGAGCTCTTCCAGGAAGCATGTCTCCTGGCTAGCCTAAATGCTACCCTTCATTCCCTCTTTTCCTCCCTTCTTCCCCTCCCTCCCTCCTTTTCTTCCTTCCCACTTCTTTTCTTTCTAGGCTTGAGAGCACATCCACATTATTAAAAACTCCAGATTTACATTTCTCCTCTTTAAAGCTCAATTGTAAAGAATGATTCCAAGCCTCAAATATTTAACAAGGTAAAGAGGCAGTTTGGATTATTAACCTTAAGCAGAGATCCCAGTTTATGTCATTGCCAAGATGCTAATCTAAGGACAAATAACACTATTCGTAGTGACAGTCCCTGAATAGAGAGGGTCATTTAGTATCACTTCTCCGCACCACTAACCAGGCATGCCAAACCATCTAGCCAGTGCCCAATGTGGGAGACTCCTGTAGCCAGAGTTTAGGTGAAGGGTACCGTGAAAGGGAGAAAGAAGAGAGAAAAAGGAAACTGAAGCCCACTGGAGAACCATAAGAATGACAACCCTGGACTTCCGGTCTTGGGGTGTCAGGGATGAAGGTCCTCATCAGGCTGTTTCCAGAGTAAAGTCAGAATCAGTTTTGTTCCTGGACCTGTTTGCCCACACTATGACTTTTCATTTTTCAGAGGTGCCCTACAGGGGAAGCTCACTGATTTCCTGGGAGTCCTCTGTACCAGAGCTGCAAGACTTCTCACCCCCTTGAGTGAAGGCCTCATTTCCTGCAGTTGGACAGAGAGTCTCAGGTTTCCAGCCCTGGGGACTCAAGCAGCCAGACCATTTTTTAATCCTTTAGGGGGCAGCACTCAATAAATAATGGTAACACCACCTAGGGTCACACTTCTGGTGGGGAGTTTCAAAGGGCTTTATCAGACCAGGGAAGATTCAGAATGAGGCCGATCTCTCCCCAGGCTACTCTGAGCAAGACTCCACCAGCCCAGGGAGAGCTTAGAATTGCTTTAACCTAAGACTTCCAAGGACTCTTGGGAACTAAACACAAATCCCACATATGTCACATGGAAAACAAATCTTTAGGGAAATTCTTCACACTGGGACTGGCTCAGACCTGCCGGTCTTATTTTCGTCTAGACCGGGATCTCGGGGTTTGGCTGCAACTGGTTAGGTTTTGACCAGAGATACAGTGGTGAAGAACTAGACACTGTGCTTTTCAGTATTTTGTGAGTCCACATCCCTGGCCCACAGAGAAGCCAGCCTACCTAAAGGCCGGTGTCAAACAATGGATTTGTGAACGAAAACACTGACCTGACTAGAAAATAGCTAATTAGTGAAGCTAAGATTCCCGGCCACATCACTGACTCACCTAGGATGTTTCATGTCATTATCCTTAATTGTAAAATAATGCTAGATAATCTCATCCCACATTCCATTCCTTTGACGGAAAGGGATGTGGGGGAACATGAAACGGGTTGGTAAATGATGCTAAGAGAAAGCTGTTACCAAGCCACACCCCTGTGGAAAGTTAAGTGTTCCCAGCTAGACAGTTCTAAACCTTATGGTATATCGGTATCCCCTGGAGCAAGTGTTAAAAAAATTCACATCCCTGGGAAACATCTTCCTGCAGATCAAATTCCTTGGATCTGGAGTGGTCTTTGGGAATCTGTATTTTTAACACACATTTTAGGTGATTTTGATGCAAAGCCTCCACGGGCCACTAGTTGGAAACTTCTGATTTGATGTGTTATATTTACACACAGCCTTCCATAAATGCTCACTTGTTGATGGAAACCGGGACAGGTATTCCTTCACATTTCCTCCCTGGGTACTTTTCAATATGGGGCAGATGTTTCAGGAAAAACCACCAAGAACAAGTTCCCGAAAATGCTGGAGAGGTGGAATTCCCAGATGTACCTGTGACCTTTAACAGCAACTGCAGAGCGCCAATGTGAAAACACCAAAAGCTTCACCTCATGGAGGCAGGAGCTTTGCAGGGACAAGTTCCAAGTACCGGCTGATGGGTTTCTGAGCTGGAGCGAGCCCTTTCACCACCAGCCCACTCAACCATCAGTGGTTACTAGAGGTTCGTTTCAGGTATGGTTTTCCATCTGTGCTCATCCCACTGTACTTGCGATATGCTCATGGATGCATGACTATGCCAGAGGTATGAGAGCAAGACAGAGATTTAGTCTTGCCTCTTGGGAACACAGGATCTAAAAGCTCCTGAAGTTTCATGCTGCCACAATAGATACCACTTGTCGCATAGTGCTTCCCCTTACTGGAGCCCTAACCTCAATAAGCTCTCACCCTGAAAAGTGGCGATCTGAGGCATAATTGCTTCTTCATCTGTAATTTACCACACTGCCCTAGTTAAGGTTTAGCTACATCTGTCTCAGAAGCAAAGCTTCAGTTAAAATGGAATAGGTCCTAATTTATTATTCTCTCTTTTGTTTGATGTCAAAGTCCAGGTTTCTTGTCACTAAGGTTTTTTTTTTTCTTACTTGCCTTTTAAACAATCAACATTTTTTTCCCAGCATACTTGAATATTGTCCAGTAGTTTCTATTTGACATTTCTATTCTAAATTGATATTTCTAGTATATTCTATGTGGTGGGTTTCCAGAATCCTTACAGATTTCCATAAAGTATTGAAATCTCCTTCACTCCCCACTGTGTGTGTGTCTCTTCTCCTCCTCAGACACAAACACTGGATCTGGTAGGAGGGGTCCTTATGAGAGAAAATTTAAAAAGCAGTAGCAAAACGTGCAAAATTCATTCAAACCTCCTTGGAATCCTTGGAAAAGGAACCTAAAAAAGCCTTCTTGCTTCCTCCACTCTGCCTGGCTTTAGCACAAGGCTGATCTCCCTATGATACACTAATTTTTCTACCTTGGGGGCATAAGTGTATCAAAAAGACCCCGTCAACTCTCTCCCTGAAAACAGCACTCTCCAATAAATCCTCTGCAAGGATAGTGGTCTCTGTACTGTTCATATGGCTACTGGGCATTGGAAATGTGGCTAGTGTGAATGACTCACTGAATTGTAGGTTGTATTTAATTTTATTCATTTAAATGTAAATTGCCACATGTGCTTACCAGCTACCATGTTGGACAATTCAGCTTCAGAATCAAAAGACCAGAGCTGAATAATTCCCATAGAAACCCACAGAAATTCACACCCTTATAAGTCTCTGTGGTTACCCTACTTGCTTGCCAAGAAAGGAACCCCAGTATCAGCAGAAGTGCTGATTGCCAAGGCAGCATTTGAAAATGCTTGCTGTCTGTTTGGCTAAGGAAGAGAAGGGCTAGCTTATATTCATACTATTTTCTACCATCCTGCTTTCTTTCTATGCTCTCTCGGATGACTTTTCCAGAGCATTCACCAGGGGTCAGGGTCTTTATGGTGCTCCTGCGGCTCCTGGCCTCAGCTCCACTCGTCAGCGGAGACCACTGCAGAGAAGCAGGTGGGGCAGCAAAAACCTTGAGGACAGGGCAGCTGGACCTTCGGTCTCTACTTGGGTGTCCTTGAAAATTCTGTTAACCAATTTGGAACCACTTGCCTCACCTTTAGAATGATGGGTTGATCTGAATGATTTTT